TCAGTCTTCAGAGACCATCTTCAGAGGGACACCTTTACATCAGTACAGTTAGAAGCCACTATTACAGTACAGGTTCTAAAAGTTAAAATATATATGTACAATATACAACTATTGTATAAATATATAAATAATATACAACTGAGTGTAAAATCTATAGTCTTTACAACTACAGCAGCTGTTCCAATAAGTTAAAATATTTATAGTTAGTTTGATAAGATTATTAGAATTTGTAAACCAAGCTGGTTCGTGTGCCATCTTGTTGTTCTTGAGAAGAGGGTTCTTTAATGGTGTCCTGTATGTTATTGTGGCCCGCTGTGTTGAAATAAGAAAAAAAAAATCTTAACCAGTCATACTGGACAGAACTATTTAACTTTTTCATAATATTATTAGTGTGACGGACCAGAATGAAACAAATGAGATTTTGGAAAAATTTACAATATTGTGACCATGTATATCTATCTACCTGTAAATTTGAATTTTACTTATTTGTCCTGACACAAATCTTTCTAGAAACCTTTCACAGGTTTCAGGTTTGCTTACCAGCCCCAGAAAGACCCATTCTAACCTAACAAAGCTAGTTATTAAATTGTAAAAACATACACTTGTTTGAAATACATATTTTATATCCAATGCTCTTTCAACTGCCTAGTTCTTCTCAATACCTTTTCTTACTTGAGGACAGAGACAGAGTCATCTCTGAAATGGTGTAAAAAAACAGGATGATGAATAACGTCCAAAAAGTCAACAATTGTTCCAGTATCTTAGTACACATGAAGAATAAAATGTTACCACATTTTTATAATGGGTTGTGTTAGCTCACAACAGTAACTGGGCTATGAATTAGATCATTTCTGACACTGACATTGTTTGAACTGACTATGGGACCCAATTAGCCTCATATCCAATGGCAATTGGGATTCTCTGCTTAGGGGTAAAGTGGACAGGGTGTTAATCTGACCACTCCCTCCATTTAGTGTTGAGGTTAAGAATGTGTCTTCATGGTGTGATGCTTAATTAAGCGCAGAGACAATTTTACCTTTTCATCATCATCGGAAAAACAGCCCATTTTGATACACAGCTTTCCTTAGAATATTTTGCCAGATTTTTCTACTAAATTAAACCATCCGGCCTTCACTTCTTCAGATTTTGCAACCATAATTTTCATTTCACAGAACAAGGTCATCAGCCTTGCATCCAATCCCCAACCTGGAGTACCTGGTCTCTGTATTTATGTCCCCCAGTGATAAGGTGGCCCAGTTATACTCCTATGCACTGGGATTCGTTTTCGTCTTCTATAACTTGCAGGGCTACAGTGGAGGTATTCTAACCTGCCTCCACATGGGAATTTTACTTTCTACCTCTACTAATTATATATAAGGGTGTCCCAGGAGGAATGGACCAAACTTTGGGAGGGTGTTTCTTNTTTTTTCTACTGCATTTAATTAAATGAAATTTAACAAGATGGATCTGATCAGCAGCAGCAGGCAGTCATCTGCTTCTGCTACCCTCTTGCTGGGCTTACTCTTCTGAGCCCTCTCTTAACTGCACAGACAGAAGACCATACATTTCATACATACAAGTATATGCAAGCTGTGGGATACAGTGCAGCAGAATGCTTCTCTAAAAAGAGGTGCAACAACTTTCAGCAACTGTAAAAAAGTGAAGTTTCCCTTGTGCTTAATTAATTAAGTACCACATCATATACAGGATAGTGGAGGTACAGGTATTGTTAACCTTGGCACTAGATGGAAGTCAGTAGTCAGTTTCATGCCCTCGCTGTTTACCTTTGGGCAAACAATGCCAGGTATCGCTGAATAGGAACTGGGTGGGCCCCAGAGCTAGTCTGGATGCTGCTGTGAAGAGAACACTCTCTCGCCCCTGCTGGGAATCAAACCCCAATATCCTAGCTGCCCAGGCCACAGCCTGTCAGTATACCAACTGAACTATCAGTACATACCTTATAACATGCTCGATGTAAACACTGCTGGCACAAACTTTTTGAGGTGGGGGCTGCATTGCACGACTCAATATACTTTCAAATTCTCTACGATTTTGTTCAATGAGATGCTCATTTCCTTCATTTCTGCGTGCTTCACAGATCTGTTGAAAAGGATATGAATTTATATTACAAAGAGACTTCTATTTGCAATCCTGTATTTAAGCATCCTGTTGCATTTCTATATCTAATACTGTTTATTGTACTACACAGTTCGTCAACAATGCAACGAATTGTTCCTTCCTTCTTATACTTTCACTTTTGACACACCATGTATCGGCCCTAAATGGCCATCTTCAGGTCTTACTATGCTAAAACTGCTACACTGTACTTTTAGCGCATACCAACTGATTATGAGAATGATGTTTTAAATAATGAAGCGTGCAGTCACATATGCGATGAATGGTTAATATTAGTGCAGTGTAGCAGTTTCAGCATAGTAAGACACCTGATGATGGCCATTTAGGGCCGAAATATGTTGTGTCAAAAATGAAAGTGTAAGAAAGAAGGAACAATTTGTTGCATTGTTTACGGACTGTGTAGTACAATAAACAGTTTTACCAAGAGACTTAATTAAATGTACAATCATAAATATATATACTGTGACATGTTGCGCAACGGAGAACACCCCCACCAGCAGTGATGTGGCGGATGAGTCAGTGCTCCCCCCCCCTCCGCACGGTAACGTAACGCGCAACGCGCGGTGACGTAAGACAGCGTGAGGTAACAGCATTGCTACATAACAGGCACACACAGCCACTATATAAGAGAGCTGCGCTGCCTGCGAGAAGAGTTGTAATGTGGCCATTGCCGAGTTCAGTTCCGAGTTAGTTCCGAGCAAGCTTACGAGCGAGTGTGTTATCAACAGTTCTCAAGGCAGCAGCCTGTGATTTGAGTTGGAATATAGCAGCCGTCGGGGAAAGAAGAACCGGACGTGTGTGTAACTGTGTAATTGGGAGCGCGTGATACAGTGATACATAGCTCTCCTACTGTAAACGTGTAGACTACTGAAGACGGAGTGAACTGATTTGCGCATAGGGTTATAAAGTGTGAAACCCCGCAACTGTGTGATAATTAATTGTAGCCGTTACTTGTAGGTTGTTAAATAAACCAGTTAACAATCCGAACGGCGTCTTCAGTACCCAAGACATGTTACAATACTATGAATGGAGCAGTCTATGCCTGGGATACAATAGCTTTCCTTGTTAATATCATAATACACAGTAATTAAGACTTAACAGGAATAACATTCAAATTAAATAAATTAAAGTTTAATCATTCATTCAGAAGAAAAAAGGGAGAATGGGAACAAGGATTTTAATCACATCCAAAAATTCTACCACAATACTTGCACACACTTCCAAGAACATGGCTACCACACATACTGGCAAGACTAAAAACTAAATTTCATATATGTTTTGATGTTCTCCGTTAGGTCCATAGCAGGAAACTGAAAACAGAAATTACTGTTTCATATAAATTATATCACAGTGTAGACTCTCCTTTTTACCCTATTTCCCTAAAGTAGGCTTATGCAACCTCCATCTCGTCTGTGTGCCTGTGTACCCATTCACCCTATCAACTTCTGAATGCCTCAACCAGTGTTTATGAAATTTGGTATGTATGTGTATATCATGGCAACCGAGCCCATCACACCAGCATAGTTCATAAATCCCTCTCATCAGTCTGTGTCTCTATGTGTATCCCTCCTATTGTTGCTAGGCAATGGCTAGGTAAACATGTTTCATGGCAACAAATATGTGCAACAATGGAAGAACTGTTAGATATGTCATTTTCCATCTGGACCATGTCTTATCAAAGCAGAGTCCATGGGTCTATCTGTGTATCCCCTTATTGTTGATACGTTAACATCTTCGTATAAGCATTTCCACAGCAATAAAGAATTGTTGGTGGAAATTAGTTATTCCTAAAACTTCTTGTTATAATTTGTTGACACAGAACATGACTTACAAAATACAATTACAGTGGACTATCAATTATGTGCTTTGCAGAATAACAACATTAATTTTAGAACCCCTTCATTAGTCACTGATATGGCTTCCTATAAAAATTTTAGTATTGCCCTTTACATCTGTACCAATAACACAAATCAGTAAAAGGTAATGTTGTCCCTCTGCTTAACTAATTAAGCATTATGCCATGAAGATGTATGGGGAAGTGCATGTATAGATCAACATTTTCTTGACCTCAGCACTAGTTGGAGATGAGTGGTCAGCTTCACGCCCCGGCCGCTTTACTCCTGGTATCCACTGTATAGGAGGTTGGGTGGACCCCAAAGCCAGTCTGGATGATATGGGGAAGTGAAAACTTCATAACTGGTTAAAAAGAAAGAAAAGGTAAAGCTATCCCTGTAACAAGCCATGGAGGCCCAGAGGGTTGTGGATGTTGACGCTCCTACATTTTCTAGATAACTGCTAACGGATGGCAGTGAGATTATCAACCTCACGTGTTTGCAGCCCTTTACCCCCAGGATCATTCCTGGTATTTTTTCTGTTAGAGACTGAGTCGAACCCAGGGCCATAGTGTGGCTGCAAGGATTAGGTCAACTGAAAAACCCAGTGACCTCATTGGGGATTGAAACTGTGACCTTCCGGCTTGTAGCATAATGCCTCAACCAACTACACTACTGCGTGCCACAAATACATATCAATTACACTTTATAATTATTTTAGTGAAGTGTACGTCATCTCACACAGCTGCAACTATATATTTTATTATTCTACTGGTTTTCATGACTACCATTGTGACAGAAAAAGGTTGCTCTCTTATGTTTGAAAAATTTTCTTGGGATAGTACTGGGATAGCGCAGTTGGTATAGCGACTAGGTAAGGGCCGGACGACGGGGAGGGTCATAGTTCGAGTCCAGGTAGGTTCAAAAATTTTCACTTCTCCATGTCATCCAGACCAGCTTTGGGGTCCACCCAACCTCCTATCCAATGGGTACCAGGGGATCTTTCCCCGGGGGTAAAGCGGCCGGGGCGTGAAGCTGACCACTCACCTCCTACTAGTGCTGAGGTCAAGAAAACGTGGGTCTATACATTCACCCCCCCACGTCTTCATGGCGTATGTAACGCCGTGGTGGCAGGGGGGCGTGGAGGTATCCCACCTCTGCCACCACTTGTAACGCTGTGGTGCAGGGGGGCGTGCAGGTACCCCTCCTTGCTACCACAGCTTACGCTGTAAGGAGTTAACACAATAATCCTAGCTTACTCTCAGCTAGGATTCTCCCGTTTCTGGGCTTCCTTCCTTACTTAAAGCTACCACCATCTATTATATGTCCTAAGAGAGGTGATGTAAGTACCAAGGGCCGATAGCGCGGTAGTCGAGCGTCCTCTGTTGGCTGGCCCCTTCATCACTGTCACCTCTTATTATTGGCGTAGAGCGGGCGTGTCAGGTCTGACCCGCCCCTACCTATCGTCTGTCATCTCTATGGTGGGAACTACCCCCTGACATAGTGTCATAGCTCCCTCTTGACATATCTTCATATAGTCTGCAGGTAGCAACATATCACATTATCATGATTCTTACATCTTAAAGGGGCGTTGATATCAAGGGCTACTAAGCGCGGCCTGCGTGGCAGGTGCCCATCCCTGTCCATTCTTAGTACCTCCCCTTAAGCATTCGGCTGCTGCTGCCTTTCGTTTTGGTAGGATCCTCGGGATCGGTCGTGGAAAGGTGATTATGGAGGGGTGAATCACAATTCCCTGCGTACATCCTACTCTATGTACACTGGTCTATTTACATTGATATTTACCATATTTACAATATTTACATTATTAACAAGGCCGACTTTCAGTCGGGACTACATAGTGAATTTACTTGAAGCTACGCTAGGAACCTCCCCTTCGGGGGTGTAAAACTGAAGTCTCTCTCTGCTTCGACTCCTGACTATAGGCAAGTATTAATCGTGCAATGCGATCCTGTTTCCCTACTATTCATGATACACTACTAGTAATCCTAACATATACACCATACACAGACATATTGCCGGACTATCTTCCTAGGCAATCACTTGTTACATAATTATTACTCTCCCCTAAGGGCTCGCCGAGCACACTGGAGTTTGCTTTCAATATTTTCCACACACTGTTATTGACAATAATATTGAACAACATGGCTTATATGAGTAAATGTGACTTACTTGACATAGAAGAATGCAGGCCAACTTCCAGCACTCGTCAGACCCATACTGAATAGCGCCTCCGGCTGACAACTGAATATTATGTTTGAGATCAGATCCCTATGTCTCCTAAATTCAGTAATTTATATCTTTAATTTGCTAAATCAACGGTTAATGAAAGAGGGAAGTTACTCCTCCTTTCGCCCTCAATTTCTGGGTGGAAGGTTTCCATTGGCTACCTTTCGGCTGTGGGTGGGCCCTCGGTCCTCTTGGCTGCTGCTTACTTAATAATATAATTATACTCCAGTGGCCAAGTGAGGTAAGCTTCTTGCTAGTGCGATTACGCATAAATGCTGATCATCAACATTCTTAACCTAGTTGCCTGTCCAGGTGTTGACATACTAATGTAATGGCTGTAAAACACTTTTCGCAAGTCTCGAAACTTTAAGGCAATGCCTTAAATTTCCAATCTCAAAATTGGTCCGCAACAGCGTACTGCTTAATTAGTTAAGTACATGGACAACTTTACCTTCTTAGTACCTTAAATAAGACCATGACTACTTATTTCGAAATCCTTTCCAAATCAACCATCCCATTATCTGATGATACACAGTCTTCATATTGAAGGCAGTGTAAAATAACCTAGGGAAGAAAACGGAAAATGCAACACATACCCTACATAAATGGCAAGCTCCAGTGGAATTAAGATTTTGTCATGCCACTTCATACAGCCAAATGATTATCAAAAGCAAAGTGCTACACCTCACTTGAAGCACGTGGCTGCTGGATGGCTAATCCAGTGGGTGGATTCCCGGTAAGTTACAGTACCAAGGGCCCCAAATCCACTTTACCTCAATGAGGCACTGACCTACCTTCAATCGAATAGCTGCAGGACCAGCACAGTATGTTGCATTTCCTCTCCTTGTGTGAGGTTCACTATCACAGGCTGCATGGAGTACCACCTCCAATTCAACATCTCGGTATAACTGTGGCACCAACTCTAGGAAGTTGCAATCTAAAGCCGTGTGTTCTGACACGTGCAAAGAGTAGCTTCTGTAACACAACATATACAAACTTCACAATTCCTTCATGGAAAATTCACTGCATGAACATCATGTGAAGAATGCCTAAGCAAGGAACACATGCACCCAATATGCCTTACATTAATGTGAACTTCAATTGTAACTTATTTCATTTACACATAAAATACAAGAATGGTCCAAAATGAAAGGAAACACAATTATTTGTTGCTGTGCATTCAATTCAACAACAAACATGGTCACATATAATGTTACTGAAAACTACTAAGAGATGACACTACTTGTCATTATTCACACTTGTTCAATGGAACTATAGAAGCCTAAGAAGCAAGCTCCCCAAATCCCAACAAAGGAGCCAAAACATAGATGTCATAATATTATTAGAGACCTGGCTTGATGAAGTACAGGGCGTTCAATCATCGAGGAAACTGGGAGATCAGCGTGAGTCAGATACAACATTTGTCACAGATTGCTGCTGTAACTGCTGATAGCGGAATGAGTCATCGGCGCTGATAAACATACACATTCTCGCTAGCATAGAGTGGATGGATCGTTTCTCCGTGACTACTGTGTCCGTCCCCACTAGTGAGAGTGCAGTCATGTCGCTGATTCCATCACATCAGTTTCTGTACATGCACACATTTATAGGAATACTGAAAAAGATAACTTACCGTGCTTTATAACAGGTGCTGAAAGTGACCCCCTTCTGCTTGCAAACATGCCTCGCATCGCATAAATAAATTATGTGACACTTTCTGAAGTTGGTCCATGGCAATTGAACTAATTACACGTGTAAAATCCTCATGCTATACAGCAAGTGCCATTACATAGTGAAAAGGTGGGGGTGTGGTGTGCTGTAAGTCTGTGCCAAATCATTAGCCCCTTATTTTTCCATGAACCTGTGAACTCTTACCGCTATGTTAATGATATACTGAATCCGTTCTTCAATCAGCTGACTGCTGAAGAAAGACAATATAGGTATTTTCAGCACATACAGTTAATGCATCCATGGTCGCAATATGGGAAGTGTCTGAAAACAGAATAATCAGCAGGGGACTGTAGCCTCCCAGATCTCAGTTTTTGCGATTTTTATCTCTGGGGAAACCTAAAGGGAAAAGTCTACAAGAAAAATCCTAGCACCACCGAAGCTCTGCAGAATGAAATAACATGCGTAATTAGTTCAATTACCATGGACCAACTTCAGAAAGTGTCACATAATTTATTTATGCAATGCGAGGCATGTTTGCAAGCAGAACGGGGTCACTTCCAACACCTGTTATAAAGCATGGTAAGTCTGTTATCTTTTTACAGTATTCCTATAAATGTGTGCATGTACAGCAACTGATGTGAGGGAATCAATGACACAACTGCAGTCTTGCTAGCAGGGAAGGGCACAGTAGTCGCGGAGAAATGATCCATCCATTCTATGCTAGCGAGAGTGTGTGCATTTATCAGCACTGATGACTCCTTCTACTATCGGCAGTTACAGCAGCAATCTGTGAGAAATGTTGTATCCGACACATGCAGCTTCTCCGGTTTCCTCAATGGTTGAATGCACTGTAGAAAAGTTAAACCTGAAAGGGTTTTATGTGGTGAGAAATGTAAATGTAAAAGATATTAACAAAATATTAAAAATACTAAATATTAGAGTTAGGTTAAGAGATATATTTAAAAACTGTGGGGTGACTGCTATGACAGAATAAGATATTTGTAAGACTGCTACAGAGGCTGGATGGGCACTGCCTGTGCCTTTTTTTTATAACATTTTTTCTACATAAAAAAAGAGGCAAGTCAACCAAAAATATGGTCCAGTGTGGAAGTCTTCTCAGTAAAGAGCATTATCATGCAAAAGGACTAGTGAAAATGAAATACACTGAGAACCTGTCTATTGATAGACTGTGATGTCTTAAGAACAGGTTTGTTTTTTGTATAATGAACTCCTGACCCAGAGTATGGTGCTGTTAACAGTGAAATGCCACATGAGTGGTCGCAATGCAGTCAGTGGGAAGTGCAAGAGTATCCATCCTACAGCCTAGACATAGCTGCTTCAAGCTTCCATTTCTTTGGGCCTTTCAAGCAGCACCTTTCTGGAAGGCACTATGACACAGATGTCGACGATCAACTTCAAGTGTATCGCTGGCTACCAAGGTTTTGTCCAGAATGTTACTGTCAGAGTACTCATCTTCTCATTGCATGGTAGAAGAAATGTCTTAACAGGGAAGGTTACTGTGTTGAAAAATATTACAAACATGTGCCTTGATTGCTGTGTAATGTTGTACAGTACAACTAAAAGTCTTTTCACATAAACTGTGTTATGTTACTTATCAGATCTCCCTCATATATTACCTTTTTAGCTATGAACCATTCATATACAAATGATGCAACTGAATATGGATGTATATCATGGTATCATGCACTGATCAATTCTGAGGCCCACCCGGCCTCCTATCTAATGTGTACAAGGGACTATTTCCCAGGGGGTAAAGCTGACCACTCACCCATATGCCTTGTAGTCCTTAAATAATTTAACACAAGGAAAACTTTACCTTTTCCTTTATATTCCTTTCCCTGTATTATTTGTGAAAAAGTGAACATTCGGTGTCTTATTAACCCTACAATGTGATGGACTGTTTTCTCTGTAGGGTTATACTTGGCCCATTCCAGCAGTTGTGAATAAGATTTGCTAATTACTATGAAGCCAACTTACAGAGCATAATCCAACAGAGTTTTGAATGAAGTTTTAAGACTGTCAAGTACAGTGCCCCTGTTGCACAACATCTCATTTGTGACTACAGGCATAACTGGTTTCACAGGCCTTAAAGGTGGCGGAGGTACAGGTGAGTCATAGGACTGTAAACTGAAAAGAATAAAGAAAAAAAAAAACAGATACAAAATATAAGTTATCATTTTGTACTTTTTTGAAGAAATTATTTCTTCTGTTTTCTCATATTTTTCTTTTCAGATCAAATAGTCTTAATATAATCACACAGCACAGTCAAAAGTCTCTGTTAGCTTATAGAACAGCATCTTGTGTGCAACAGATGGATCAAACTCAACAAATCCTTTTGTATGTATACTTAGACATGTTTTACACAACTTACATAAATTTATAACAAATCCGTACATAACTCGTATTCATGATGCACTCAATCTGAATCTCTGAAAGTCCACCAGCTATTCTGATATTTTTTATGATTCTTTTTCAGTCCCACCAGGCAAATGGGGGGCACACAGTAGCATAGTTCATTAAAAAATTATGCTACGGGCTGGAATGTCACAGGTTCAAATCCTGATGAGGTCACTTGATTTTTCAATTGACCTAATCCTTCCAGCTGCATTATGGCCCTCGGGTCACTCAGCCTCTAAGAGAAATGAGTACCACGAATCTTCCTGTGGGTAAAGAGCTGTCAGCATGTAAGGCTGACAATTTCACTACCACCTGTGAGCCAACTGTCTAGAGAGAATGTCGGAGCCTTGACGTTTCACAACCCTAGTGGCCTCCACAGCCTGTTACAGGGGGTTGCTTTACCTAGCTTTTACCAGGCGAATGCCAGGATAGTATCTCAATTATGTAATCCCTGTTTCCTTCCAAACCCTTTCCAATTCTACATTCATCAGTCATCAAACTATTTGACTGTACAGTTTGTGACACTGAAAGCATTTTAAAATAACCCACAAAAAATTCATACAACCATTTCTATTAATTTCTTACAGAGGGTCATATTTTTAACACCACAGAGTATAATTAAGCAATATTATTTTCAGAAATGCTAAGCATAAAACAGGTGTGAGGTACTGTCATATATGACAACCAACATGAGATGAAGATAATATTTATAACCTAAGGTGAACACACACAGACTCAGAACTCACCGTTAATAATCTTTATATTTAATGCAATATGAAAATATTACAACTTATCTACAACAAATTCGTTTCAAACATCAAATTATGCTTTCTGTATAACCCTGCTTCAAAACAAGGCTGTTTCACTATCAATATGTCATATAACCTTCTCTCATGGCTTAATGATAAAAATTACCGTTTCAAAATTCTCTTATCAGGCTCAGTGGAGTCCTCAGCATTAGCCAACACTGGCACTTTCAACCTGTGATCTTCAGTTCTGAAATGGGTAACCTCCCATTCTTGAAGTGCCGCACATTGATCTTCTCTGACCTTCGTATAATCCATATACTCGAACCACGGAGTCTGCAGGGAGAGATGTAAAAAGCTATTGTACAATATAAAATTAAAGCATATCATATAATTTAATTCATATTACTAAACTAAGTGTATAAGACACTGTTTTCATTACTTTCTTTACATTTCATTACATAAGTTGTTTATGTAAGAGTAGAAACCAGGGTTTATGTCAATGTTCTTAACTCAACACTGACATGGCTGATCACTAGAGATTTTTGCACAGGTTACTTTATGATCCTATCAAATGTTAACCAAACGGGGGAGAAGAATAGAGGTGGGAAACCCAGAAGGAAAGACACCACTAGGAAGACCAAGATGTAGGTGGATGGACAATATTAAAATGGGTCTTAGAGAGATAGGATGAGGTGGTATGGACTGACCAATCTGGTTCGGGATAGGGACCATTGGAGGGCTCTTGTGAACATGGTACTGAAGCTTCAGGTTTTATAAAATGTTGAAAAGTTCTTAAGTAGCTACACAATTGGCAGCTTCTTAAGAAGGTCTCAGCTCCATAAAGTTACTTAGTAATCAGCAGCTAAGAATATACACCATCCAATGGCAGCATAACAGATTAAATATGAATAGGAAAGGATTTGGAAGGAAGCAGCCATGTCCTAACTGATGAATTATCCCAGAACTTTATAGTCTTCACCAAAATAATAAAATTAAGAAAAATCATATTAAATAATTTTAAAAGGTAATTTGCATTAAGCTGAAAGAGCTCAAGTTGGGAGAGACCTGCATAGTGGAACCCTTATTTAACATTCCTCAATTTAAAGTTTTCTCTTATTTAGTGTTTAGTGTCAGTGATCACCCATTCATAATGTGACTGTTACATTTCTTCAGTTTAGTGTTCAAATCTGCTGCTCCCCCAGAAAGTTACTCTCACACTTTCCTATATCCAAAAGAATAATGAAACAAAAATCCAAGCCTAACAGAAACTTGATATATTCACTGACATCAAATCCATTAGCATCTATTATAGACAATTTGCCTCAATAACATGAGAATATCAGTTTATGACTTAATTTGATTTCCCTGTCCCACTGTCAAATATATAAAGTAGAATCCTGGTAATCCAAGTTCACCTTATTCCCAGCAATCCGAAATGACTTACGGTATCCCCCCTCCCAAAACTGACAACTCAAAAAATTACAAATTTAAACTAAATATTTTACTCACTTGCAGTAAATCTGTGGAAACTTGTGGAACATGATGTGTTAATGGATGGACCTGCTCCCTACATGGTGGAATATGTAACCCAGATACCACTTGCCCTAAGCCCAGAATGTGGGTTCCAGTCACTCTTTATAATATGAAAGGTATCTATAAATCTTTGAATACATAATTTTATTAAAAATTCCAATTCTTTATTTGAAACCCAACAGTCTGAACACACCAATCCTTAAATTAGTTTGGATTATCAATGTTTCAACGTACTTGCAGTACACACTACTAAAAAAAGATTCTGCCATGGCTTGAAGCAGAGTGACAGAATGCTAATCATGTCATAGCAGACACCAATGTCTTGCACAATCCACCACTGCAATGACCATGTTCAAACAAAACAAACCTAATACAGAATTCTACACAACACTGCATACTTCGGCTATAGCTCACATAAACTGTAGATAATTTTCAGAGCATCTTCAGTTTTACTTGTGAAACAAGCTCAATAATATTAACATTAATTTTGCTGGCTAAGATAACAATAAAGACACTGTGCTATTTCAACTGAGAGATCCACAGCAAAAGGACTAACCTCATATCATCACTGTTATCACTATCATCCATTCCAATATGAGGCCTACTGAGACCTAGTAAGGATATTACCAAACAGAATCCTTTCACCACTTCAGAGGTCCTACCATTCTTAATTTTTCCTCTTGGTAGATATTTTGAAACGTTATTCATGGGGGGTATAAGAGACAGGATGTATAATCATCACTCTCTCCTTCCCATGGCATGTCTTGTTTTCAATGAAAAGGCCAGGATGCCCAAGTTACAGTAGAATAACTATTATATGGTTGGTTATTAATGCCACACTCTGACAATTAAGTCATTTGTGCTTTCAACCTCAAACTGGATGGCACAATAGTAACTCATTTTTTTATTTGGACAATATTTGGGCCTCTTGAGAATAAGTGAGGAACATTACTGCTGTGTTAACCTGATGGAAGGAAATTCAAGTTTGAAAATAAAACATTAAAGGGGACCAGAAGACTGAATAGATGCACAGGTTCTACGAGGGGTGTTCAAGTTCTAAGGTCTCCGATTTTTTTTTCTCAGGACTGGGAGTAGATAGACACATGCGGTTCAGTTTAAAATACGTGTGCACTTTTTGTGAATGCGTGACAGAGATGACAGTACTGTACAGCACATAGAACTCTAGTGGTGGCGGCGAGTGTGAGGAGTGTTTTTGATACTTAAAATGGCGACGTTTTCGTTACAAGAACAGCGAGTAATCATTCGTTTTCTCCACTTGCGTGATGCGACACCCATTGAAATTCATCGCCAGTTGAGTGAGACGTGTGGTGATGGTGTCATGAATGTGAAAAATGTGCATTCGTGGGTGTGACAGTTCAAAGAAGGCTGAACGTCGTATGACAACGAACCAAAACAATCTCGGCCTTGCACCAGCCGGTCTGACAATATGGTCGAGCGACTTGAGAAAGTTGTTTTGGAGGATCGCTGATTGAGTGTGGAAAACATCGCCTCCAAAGTTGGCATTTCCATGGGATCTGTGCACAAAATCCTGCATGAAGACCTGCGGATGCAGAAAGTGTCCTCCAGGTGGGTGCCACGAATGCTGGCGGACGACCACAAGGCTGCGCACATAGCAATTTGCCAGGTGATGTTGACACATGATGAAGGCATGAATGGGACTTTCTTTTCATCAACTGTGACAATGGATGAGACATGGATGCCGTTTTTCAATCCTGAAACGAAGCGCCAGTCAGCTCAATGGAAGCACACAGACTTGCTGCCACCAAAAAAATTTCGGGTAAGCGCCAGTGCTGAAAAAATGGTGGCCATGTTTTGGGATAGCGATGGCGTAATCCTTACTCATTGCGGTCCAAAGGGCATTACGGTGACAGGTGCATCCTACCAAGATGTTTTGAAGAACAAGCTCTTTCCAGCACTGTGAGAAAAATGGCCAGAAAAGGCTGCACGTGTGCTCTTTTACCAGGACAATGCACCAGCATATCGGGTGTAGGCGACACAGCAGTTTCTTCATGAAAACAACCTTGAAGTGGTTTCTCATGCTCCCTACTCACCTAACCTGGCTCCTAGCGATTTTTAGCTTTTCCCAACGATGAAAAACACTCTCTGTGGTCGCACATTCACCAGTCATGCTGCTATTGCATCAGCATTTTTCCAGTGGTCAAAACAGACTCCTACAGAAGCGTTCGCAGTGGCCATGGAATCATGGCGTCGACGTTGTGAAAAATGTGTACAGCTGCAGGGAGATTACGTTGAAAAGTGACGGTTTCAAATTTTTTGTATGATTATTGTGTGAGAAAAAAAATCGGAGACCTTAGAACTTGAACGCACAACGTACTGTAGGAAATACAGATAAAATTTATAATGGTATATAATCTGAGACAAAGGTAAATAACTATTTTATTGGTGCTGCAAGAAATATTTTTTTATTACTATTATTATTTTACTGACACAAATAGTCCATCCAGAAGCATAACAGCAGCAACTCCACAAATGGACAGTCACTTTTTGACTACCAACAAATTTGTGGGTTTTCAAATCGCTTTCAAGATTAACATCACTCTGATAAGAATTTATATCTGTGGATATACTCATTCACAAAAAACATGTAAATGCAACAGTCATCACAACATAACTCCCACGAAACTTCAGTGTACTTGTTATTAGCCTCAACAATCTGGCGGTATGAAAATTGAAATTTTGGGTACTATAAGCCTGGCAGCCATATTTTAAATGAGGGGTAACAGTTCATCATGTGTGAATCAGAATTTTAATTCTCCTAGTTCTACAAGACTGACAGCCATATTTTATCATGGAGGTCATGGTATTAGCATTGAACAAATGCAATGGTTCATCACTGAAACATGTGCATGTGCCAATGCAATAATAAGACACATGGCCTATTAAGGTTAAAATATTGGGTCAGAGTATGGTAAGGAAGAGGCTGTAACACTAAAACCACTGTTTCTTTTCATTCAGTAAATGTATCAGCAAACAGTTGATGTGTACTGGCAAACCATGTCAAACATTGCACATCTATTAATGCATTCTATGTTTTGAGCTTGCAACTAAAACTGAGCATAAGAGCAAACAGTTTTTAGAAAAACTGTGCTAACTAAAATAAATATGTGACATCCCCACTTAATGTTTTCTTTTGGGGGGGGGAGACATTAAAGATAGACAATACACTCAGGAAAACCTTAAACAGTAGAGATGTGACACTGAGACTAGTACAAAAGCACAGATCAGGAAAAACCTTCAACTGACAATTATTATTATGTGGAGGTTCCTCTTACACAAACGCAAAGAAATACATGAAGTGTCAGTTATACCACATTTCCTTGCAGTAGTGCAGCCAACTTGTTGGAGTTATACTGAGGAGGCAAAGCAGGAAGAAAGAGGCTTGGCTCATGAAGTCGTGGCTCTTCCAACCAAAGGCCGAAGGTTCGAAAGAGTCTGTTTTAAAAAAGACAAATAAAGATGCTGGATATGAGATTCCCAGTGGTGGTTATCAAGAGTTCTATATTCTGGGGCACAGCCTGTGCAGTGTGGTGAAGGTGAACCAACACTTAGGAGCAGCATACTGCCTTCATTTTCAGTGTTAAAAAGCTAGTCAAAGGGACCTATACCCAGCTAGTGAGAATACACACACAAAAGGGGGTACAAACACAGACACCACAAAAGGAAAATAATGTGGAATGGAGGGAGAGTTTCATTGTCAAACAAACACATTTTAGTGTGAGCAATGATAAAGCAATAGCATGGAAATATGCTGACTTAAGATCTAGTGCAGTGTCATCATCATGATCAGTAATCTGTCAGACGACAGGTCCACAGTCTCTTCCAAAAAACTTCCACTTATTGCGATCTAGAGCTTTCTTCTTCAAATGATAGTATCCTCTTCTGTCCCCAGGGTCATCCAGCATCTTCTTACGTCTTCTTCCTTGTCTTCTTGTCACTTCTATCTGCCCCTCTATCTTTCCTTCAATAACTTCTTTTAGAAGGCAGTTTCTGCGTAAAACATTACCAATCCAATTAGCCTTCCGTTTTCTTATTTCGTGTAGGATGTTCCTCTGCTCACTGACTCTAATTAACACTTCTTCATTTCTCACATAATCGGTCCAACTGATCTTCTCCATCCTTCTCCAACACCACATTTCAAAACTTTCCAGATGTTTCTGATCTACTGCCCTAAGTGTCCATGTTTCAGCCCCATACAGAGCTATGCTCCAAATGTAGCATTTCACTAGTTTCTTCCTCAAATTTAAGTCCAATTTGCTGGTAAAAAGATTCTTCTTCTTGCTAAATGCAGCTTTTGCCATGGCAATCCTGGATTTAATTTCACTAGTACACCTTCCATCATCTGTTAACAAGCTACCCAAATATTTAAAAATTTCACATTCTCCAGTTGTTTTTGGTCTATCTTTATTGTTACTGGGGTTTGTTGTCTCGAAATTTTCATTACTTTTGTTTTCTCCACATTCATTTCCATGCCATAGCACCTTCCTATTTCAATTACTCTATCAATCATGCCCTGTAGCACAGTTTCTTCCTTAGCCATTAACACAAGGTCAGCTGCATATTTCAGAGTTTGAATAATTTGCCCTCCTAATTTGAAGTCTCCAAGAGCATCCAGAGCTTCCTTGGTAAGGCATTCGCTGTACAAGTTGAACAGAATTGGTGAACTGCAGTGTGACAGTTGCAAAATATGAACAGCTACCTGAAGATGGCCAAGTAAGGCCAAAACATGTAGCAAATTGATGTGATTTTTATGTTATATTAAATTACAGAGAGACTGTAACAGTATTAAGTTGCATTAAAGAAGGAGGTGAATGAGTGAGTCAAGCCAAACAAAAAAACCAGCTTGAACCAGGCAGCACACAGAGCTCACTTCTTGCTTTGCTTACTCTTCAACCCCAAAAATGGAGGTCATATGCTTCTCTGAAATGTTCACTGACTTTCACCACACTACATGGTCTGTTTTGGGGGATATATATATATATAGATTATGGACATTGGGGTTCTCAAAATGGTAGTTATGAAGAGTTCTATCTTCTAGGACGTAACCGATGTGAGCCAGTGAAAGTCAACAAACCTTATGGAGGTACATACCACTTTCATCTTCAAGGGCTGAAGAGTAAGCCAAACAAGAAACAGCATAAGTAGCCAGCACACTGTTACTGTTCAAATGTGAAAATGGAGGTGATATGTTTCTCCAGAACACTGGCTGACTTGGGCCGGACTTCATGGTATTACATCCCAGAATACAGAACTCTTCAAAAGTGATCACATCAATGCACAACATTGTTTAAGAATGAATATACAAGCAAATACATGTATATATTAGACATGGTCAAAGTGTGTACTGACATATATTCGGAAAAAAAAAAAAACAACTACAAGCATAGGACTCAGACTGAGGTATATACTATGTTCCAACCACCTGTGGATTATACACAAGTCTCTTTCATAATTATATCTATTCTAATTTTCATAAATTCTTCAGGTTTTATAGCTATGTATGTAGAATTAAAAAGAAAGCAAGTTAACTGATTACAGAGGATAATAATACAAGTTGGAAAGAACAACAATGCTAAATCACGCTGATTTTTCAGTCTCAGACTTAAAGAATCTTCTGATACCTGGTCTTAATGTGTGCAGTAGCAGTAAAACTATCTGATCCAACCTAGCATAAACCTGCCAAACAAACTCTCTCTCTCTCCCCCTACCCCTTCAGCCCACAGTGAAAAAGGATATGGCTGTAGGACTGTATTTTCTTTTATGTAATTTATTTAAAAAGAGACAATATCAAAAGGGACATAGATCTTCCATCTTTATTCCTGTTGTTCCCACTTGGAGCATAGGGCATCCATGAAATGCTTCATTTCACTTCAGTTTCCTAATCCTATACACAGCAGGTAGGACAGGGGATTAGATCATACATTAGTTTCATGATAAAGGCCACTAAGAACAGAGAACATAAATACAGAATACACACAGACATCCATGCCTTCCGTAGGATTCAAACCCACAATCCCAGTGTCTGAGCAGGCAAAGACATTTCAAAAGAAGTAAGTACTGCACTTTTGTGTATTGTGAAAAAGTGGCTGCTGTATTAAATTATGATTACAACAAACAGACCTGGTAGAGAAAATTCTTATTACCATCTTGATTCTCAAAATGTTTCTGTAATTGTGTCTCAAGACTCAATTAATTAATTTTCTGGGATGGGGTGAGTGAGTCCACATGGTACGTGGGCCACTATTTGGCTTATTGTACCAGCCCCAGATGGTAGATGATAAAGAATGTGGAGCAGTCAGTGGAATAAGAACTGGCAGAGAAAATTAAAATACTTGGAGAAAACCTGCCCCAGTACCATTCTGTCCAGTCCAAATCCCACATGACCTGACCTGAGATCAAACCTGAGCCACCACAGTGGGAAACCAGCAACTAACTGCTTGAGCTATGGCACAGCTGTCTCAGACTGAGAGTCACTCTCATACATGTCTAGCTTTTAGCCATTGTTTTAACAAGGCCAATAAAACCATGTGTAAAAAACTCAGCTCGCAAGGTTCTGCCACACAAAGCAGTTTGTTTGTTTCAATATGCATAATGGTCCAGACATATAGTCCCTAAAACACTGAGTGCCTTTCTGTATATCCTGTATTTTAGACAAGAGTTGACATAAACAGGAAATTAAGGAATGGGGAAGTTCTGAATTCAAGCTAAAGGGACAAGTTGACTATTTTTCACTCTTCTAACCCTTTCTGGTACAGTCCAGAGGGTTGTATGACCTCCCCAGTCAGGATTTGGATTGCTTATTAGGCTTACTGAGTGTTTATGTCTTGCAACTACAAATAACACACTCACTAATCTACATATCCTATCAACTGCTATAGCACACATTAAGTCTTCTGATTTTGTTATGTCTTCACTAGTCTTTGGCTAGGCAGTGGCTTCTAACAAAGATGATTTCTCTAATTCCATGCTCATGTCCTTGCTATCTGGCAACTAACTCACAACTAAGTGCAAACTGCCCCTGTTGGCTGGTCGGTCAGTCAGTCAGGTACTCTTCTGTTAGCTTTGCCAGCACAGTCATCCTCGGTTTCAGTATCAACGGGACTCATGACCATATTTTTCTGTCTCATTACTCTTCTCTTGCCCGCCACAACTCATGCTGGTCCTCATTCGAATGGACCACATAGACAACACCACTACCAACAGTAGTCCTATTGCTGTGTGCGTATCCATTGCCATAGAAGCTTGTTTACTGAGCCATTACCTAGCAATGGACAACTCTTCTGGCTCTGCTATTGTGCCTTTCAGGTGCTATGTCACAATAAACTGCCATCTGACCAGCTGAAATTATGCACTGTTGATAATATATTAATGAACTTGGGTCTAAAGAGGGAGAATATTTGTACTGTACTTACTTTGAGCACTCGGTATACCAAATCTTCTTTTCAGTGCTGGGTTCCTGCTGCTGATGCAGTGTGTCCGTCAGTTGATCTTCTGCAGCTTCCTCTGCTTGAACTGAATCACTAATGCTTTTGGCTCGATAATGTTCTGTAGCATCCTGAAGTCGTTTCTTCAATTTCTTGTGGAAACTCAGATTAATCATACCCTCAAAGAACTTATCTCCTACGCCACCCCTGTTTGGAACACTGGTAAAAACACTCAACAGTCAGCCTAAGTAACATGTAAGTATATACACATTATGGGTTAAAATTCACATAGGGTGCAGCTGCATTTTATATGAACTTGAAACAGTGTGATATAGAAAATATTAAATAAAGTCTAACTTTATGTGCAAATAATGAGAATCCCAAAAGAATTTGGCAATACAATTTATTCCTATGAGCAAACTAGTCTTGAATTATCTGAGTTTAGAATTGTGTGAGTTCTCTAGGAATGCATCCCTCGCATAAAATGTGACTGCAACGTACTAGCAACCCGAACATAACATCAAACATTGACGATGTACGAGTATATAAGACACAGGTTTAAAGATGTTCTTCTAAATAAAAATTTTCCATGAATATGACAACAGCTAAGGACAGACAGACTACTGTCAGCAGCAGATTCAATGACTGGCAGGATTAGCAAGACAGTCAATGCAAAATATCTCTGAGCCTCAGCTATGTCACAGAAAGTGGCGATGGGAAGAGGAAGGTAGGAAAGAGCAAGAGGGGCATAAGGAAGGTATGGGATCTTTCTGTATATGCTCTCACTTGGATTTCCCTCCCTCCCTGTACCTCCACTGGCTTTCCAACCCACATTTTTATTTGTAACAGTAATGAAGGTTGGATGTATTTTGCCACATCTGTACCTGCAACCAGATCAGTGTTCTGTTACCATAAATTCACACACAACCATTACAACATCATTATATATTAAGAAAAAGGTGAACTAAAGAAATTTGTGACCTTCTGAGTTATGAAAACTTATAGTCTTGTAAACAGGTCCACTTACCATATTACATGGAGTCATAAACCAGAAGGTCACAACATGAATATCTACTGCTGTGAAAATATCAAATGTCATGTATTGGTTAGTTTGCATATGGAGCTGGAACTAAGATGAAAAATATTTTGTTGAGTGGAACATTTTCTGTTTACTGTATTAAAGTAATAAATAAATAAATAAATAAATATACTGGATAATTACCCTGATGCTGATGGTACTCTTGCTAGAAAAAGAGTGAAGAATTTCTGCCACAGAAGAGGAAGAAGTGGATGATCAAGTGGTGTGTCCAAAGCTTGCTGTGACCATCGGTAGATAGAAAGGCTGGCTGCTGATAACGTTGGGATTTTCAAATTATGAGCTGCTTTCTATACAGAGAAATGTAAAATGATTATTATAACTAGCAAATGGGGCAATTAACGGAGGTCACGTGATAGCGCAGATGGTTGAGGCACTATGCTACAAGCTGGAAGGTCACACGTTCGATTTCTGATGTGGTCACTCAATTTTTCAATTGACCAATCCTTCCAGCTGCACTATGGTCCTGGGATCGACTCAGCCTCTAACAGAAAGTGAGTATTGGGAATCCTCCTGGGCATAAATGGCGGCCAGCATACAGGGCTGACCTCACTCATATCTGTGAACTGATTGTTCAGAAAATACGGAAGCCTTAATGTCTGAGAGTCCTATGGTCCTCCATGGCCTGTTACAGGGATAGCTTTACCTTTTTCTAAATGTGGCACTTAACATGTCTTCCATTGGTGGCTGGAATAATAACTCTTCTCATAAAGTTCTAGAACTCACCAAATTAACCCTTCAATGACACAGGACATTTAATTCCTACTCGCTCCTTCGGACGGAGGGTATTTAGCCATTTAAAATGGTAAATGCAACATTTCACTTAAAGTGTAATAAATTGGGAAAGCTAGAGTTTTGTTTTTCTAATCTTCACACTACATTCAGAAATGTACATAGAATTGGTGTATTGGTCCACACTGCTTTAAAATTATTTTTTGGTATAGCAAGCATATAAAAATTAG